GCTTCAGTCAGCTGTTCCTTCTACAAAAACAAACAAAACATTTATTTTATTTTCATGACGGTCTTAATCCATAATAGTTGGTTCCACGATTATACGGTTATTGTGCCAGGCCTAGTCCCTCCCGCGCTTAGATTTATCATTTGTTAGGTTTGTTAAAATAGAGCCCTACGTGTAGTTTCAGCCTGTGTTCCTCCCCTGTTGGCAGGAATATGAGAATGGTGGATATAGTAGCTACAGGAAAAATACCCCCAGAGACTGATGTCCATGTGGCCAGGAGCTTTCTCACCAAGATATTACGAACTTCCATGAGGTATGCTTCCATTAGCTAGTTAGCCAATAGCATCCATCCCCCTTCCTCCTCCGCTAGCTATCATCCACTCAGACCTCTACCCATAATGCCATTCTACTGCTGTGTGGTAATATCATCATTCATTTACATTTACATTTTAGTCATTTAGCAGACGCTCTTATCCAGAGCGACTTACAGGAGCAATTAGGGTTAAGTGCCTTGCTCAAGGGCACATTTACGTCATTCCAACCATCAGTGTTCCTTCCTAGCTCAGCATCTCCCATGATTAGTCACCATTTTGTTTCGTGATTAGTGACCATTTTCTGTCCTTCATCAAGTAGTGTCATGGATCATGCTGTGAAATAGGGAGCCAATGTTCTTTTTAATCATGAGTTTTATAGACTCGTTCATGTTGAGGGCTTTCCATGGTTATCATAAACATTATCAGCCCATCTACACTGACCTCATGTCTTGTTAAATACTGCCTGTTGTGTTGTGGTGTTGATACTGCCTGTTGTGTTGTTGTGTTGATACTGCCCTGTTGTGTTGTTGTGTTGATACTGCCCTGTTGTGTTGTTGTGTTGATACTGCCCTGTTGTGTTGATACTGCCCTGTTGTGTTGATACTGCCCTGTTGTGTTGTTGTGTTGATACTGCCCTGTTGTGTTGATACTGCCCTGTTGTGTTGATACTGCCCTGTTGTGTTGTTGTGTTGATACTGCCCTGTTGTGTTGTTGTGTTGATACTGCCCTGTTGTGTTGATACTGCCCTGTTGTGTTGATACTGCCCTGTTGTGTTGATACTGCCCTGTTGTGTTGTTGTGTTGATACTGCCCTGTTGTGTTGGTACTGCCCTGTTGTGTTGTTGTGTTGATACTGCCCTGTTGTGTTGATACTGCCCTGTTGTGTTGTTGTGTTGATACTGCCTGTTGTGTTGATACTGCCTGTGTGTGTGTTGGATTGATACATGGTCCCTGGTTGTGTTGATACTGCCCTGTTGTGTTGATACTGCCCTGTTGTGTTGGTTACTTGCCCTGTTGGTGTTGTACTGCCCTGTTGTTATTGATACGCCCTGTTGTGTGTTTGATACTGGACCTGTTTGTGTGTGTGTTTTTGATACTGCCGTTGTTGGTTACTGCCCTGTTGTGGTGGTTACTGGCCCTGTTTGTGTTGATATGCCCTGTTGTTTGTTGTGTTGATTACTGCCTGTTGTGTTGGTCTGCCCTGTGTGTGTGTGTTGGTACGTGCTGTTGTGTGGTTGTGTGGTACCGTACTGCCCTGTTGTGTTGATACTGCCTGTTGTGTTGATACTGCCTGTTGATGCTGCCTGTTGATGCTGCCTGTTGATGCTGCCTGTTGTGTTGATGCTGCTGTTGTGTTGATACTGCCTGTTGATACTGCCTGTTGATACTGCCTGTTGATGCTGCCTGTTGATACTGCCTGTTGATGCTGCCTGTTGATACTGCCTGTTGATACTGCCTGTTGTGTTGTGTCCTCATCACATGCATCACAGAATGAACCGTTTTAAAGGGTATGTTTTGATGTTTCACTGCATAAGTGTATCTGTTCGTTGTGTGATAGTCAAGGTTCAAGGTTTGTGAGCCAGCACAACTCTGTGTTACTGTAACTGTGTGTTGTGTTACTGTAACTCTGTGTTGTGTTACTGTAACTCTGTGTTACTGTAACTCTGTGTTGTGTTACTGTAACTCTGTGTTGTGTTACTGTAACTCGTGTTTGTTTACTGTAACTCTGTGTTGGTGTTACTGTAACTCTGTGTTACTGTAACTCTGTGTTTGTGTTACTGTAACTCTGTGTTGTGTTACTGTAACTCTGTGTTGTGTTACTGTAACTCTGTGTTGTGTTACTGTAACTCTGTGTTGTGTTACTGTAACTCTGTGTTGTGTTACTGTAACTCTGTGTTGTGTTACTGTAACTCTGTGTTACTGTAACTCTGTGTTGTGTTACTGTAACTCTGTGTTGTGTTACTGTAACTCTGTGTTGTGTTACTGTAACTCTGTGTTGTGTTACTGTAACTCTGTGTTGTGTTACTGTAACTCTGTTACTGTAACTGTGTGTTGTGTTACTGTAACTCTGTGTTACTGTAACTCTGTGTTACTGTAACTCTGTGTTGTGTTACTGTAACTCTGTGTTGTGTTACTGTAACTCTGTGTTGTGTTACTGTAACTCTGTGTTGTGTTACTGTACTCTGGTGTTGTGTTCTGTAACTCTGTGTTGTGTTACTGTAACTCTGTGTTGGTTACTGTAACTCTGTGTTTGTTACTGTAACTCTGTGTTGTGTTACTGTACTCTCTGTTTGCTTACTGTAACTCTGTTTGTTACGTACCTCTGTGTTGTGTTGTGTAGTCAGTCAGCCAGTCACAGTAATGGAGGCCTGTTCATTTCTGCTTCCCAAGAGGACTTGGTCTAATCCAGTGCTTTTCTCCCTGTGGTCTCTCTCTCTCCCTCCCTCCTCTCTCGCTCGCCCTCCTCCCTCTCCTCCCCCCCTCTCTCATCCTCATCCCTCGCTCTCGCAACTATCCCTAGCTCCTTCTGTCTCTCCCCCTCCCTCGAACGTTACACCTCTCCCTAACGGTCACTCCCTTCTCGATCTCTCCCTACCCTCCCCTCTCTCGTCTCACTCTCTTCTCTCCTCTCTGCGTCCTCTCCGCTTTCTCTCTCCATCTCTCTCTCCCCGTCCCACTCTACTCTCTCTATCTCCCTCCATCCCCTCTATACTCCTCTCATCGCCTCTCATCCTCTCCTCCTCTCTCCCCTCTCTCTCCCTAAAAACCGTCCTCCCAGCTACAACCCGGCGCTCAGCACGCAACACATCTCACTCTACCTCCTCTCCTCCCTCCTCTCTCCACTCCCTCATCCTCCTCTCGCTTCTCTCCTCTGAACCTCTCCGCTCCCCAATATACGCCTCCGTCCCGCCTCTCCTTCATCCCTCACACTCCTAATCCTACCCACGACCACTCCTCCCCCATCCTCCCCCCCATCTCTCCCTCCATCATCGTCTCGGCTCCCTCTCCTCTCTCGCTCTCTCCTCTCCTCCCTCTCTCCTCTCCCCCTCTCTCTCTCCCCCCTCTCTCCTCACCCCCCTCTATCTCATCTCTAGGAGGAATGAAGCCGTAAGCAGGCCTCACTCCTGGCATGCCACCAAGTTCAACGAAAGCCAATCAGAGACTACCAAAACTCAGTCTCCACCCCTACCAGTCTGGCAGAGCAGATATGATGCAAGGTAACCCAGTGTTCAGGCCCTACACATGCCCGCGACATTCAGGCCCTACACATGCCCGCGACATTCAGGCCCTACACATGCCCGCGACATTCAGGCCCTACACATGCCCGCGACATTCAGGCCCTACACATGCCCGCGACATTCAGGCCCTACACATGCCCGCGACATTCAGGCCCTACACAATGCCCGCGACATTCAGGCCCTACACATGCCCGCGACATTCAGGCCCTACACATGCCCGCGACAATCAGGCCCTACACATGCACGCGACATTCAGGCCCTACACATGCCCGCGACATTCAGGCCCTACACATGCCCGCAACATTCAGGCCCTACTCTACCCAGGCCCGATTGTTTCTGCCAAATTTAAGGCCGAAATCAGAAAATCTATTAGCTGCTTCTGTCTGTCACTTGCTTCCTTCGCGCAGCTCGCTCTGCATGCAGTCTGCTCATGGCGGCTCTGGGTCTGTGAGTATCCATAGCAACGGCTCCGCTTGGGCTGCTCTGCTCAATGAAGACCATTAGAGAGAGAAGTTAGCTGTGAACTACTTTTCATCTCTCTAAACTCAGACAAAACCCAAGGAACATTATTATTTTCTGTTAAACAATCTCTCCTGTCTTATATTTGACCAGGTTGAAGCACTTCTGACACCATGTTATGATCTTAGTCAGATATGACTGTACTGTGCAGCAGAGCACGAGCAAATGGCTCAGCTTCAAAATGTTAGTGATACCCGAGCCCTGCCGTACCCTAGTTATGGATGAAAAATAAAACCGGCCCTACCCGGCCCTAACCCCGATGTATAATGTCGGGGCCCGTCGGGCCCGGTCGGGGAGCAGAGCTCTAATCAGGCTCCGTGATCTGATACGTTTTACTGGGACTACTTTCCACTGGCCCACAACTTCAGGCTGTTGTTTCACAATGAGGCCAATAGTTATTCTGTAGGTCAATGCACTATGGACCTTTTTCACCGTTATTATACTGAGTTGTCCATACAAAGTGCATCAAATATTGTCAGTTTGTGTAGATCAGGGTTCTTCAATTCCGGTCCTGGAGGGCCGAAACACCTCTGTTTTTCATCCTCTCCTTCTAATCAGGGGCTAATTCAGACCTGGGACACCAGGTGAGTGCAATTAACTACCAGGTAGAAATAAAAATCAGAAGTGTTTCGGCCCTCCAGGACCGGAATTGAAGAACCCTGGTGTAGATAGTAGAATGTTGAGCTGGCTTGTAGAGGTTTTCTTGGGTCTAAAAAGTTGGACCCGATCAGGACCCGAGAACAATCAGACCCAAACCTGAATGGACCCGATGACAACCAGACCTAGACCCGACCCGTACCATAACGGGTCAGGGTCTAGACAAGATCCAATTGGGCTCGAGGGACAAAAAAATGAATGTTTATCAGCGAAGTTGCTCTTCTGGTTAACAAATATATCTTTATATGTTGGCTAGGCCTTCTATAAGTCAATAAATGCACCTTATTAGCATAAAATATGCTATAGGCTATGCAGAGCCGTGGTCAGGTCCAATCAGGTCCAATCAGGTCCAATCAGGTCCAATCAGGTCTATCAACTGTAGTTACAAAGACCTGATGACCATCCAACAGGACCTGACCTGGACCAGAGAGAAAAGTTCGAATTTTGGACGGGTCGGGTCTTGGGTATTGGGGTTGGGGTCGGGTCTTGGGTCTTGGGGTTGGGGTTGGGGTGGACCCGTGAAGACCTCTAACCTCTATAGCATTATGTAGGGCAACGGGCCTTTCAGGTTCTGTCCCAAATGGTACCCTATTCCTTACATATAGTGCACCACTTTCGACCAGACTCTGGTTAACAGTAGTGCACTGTATGGTGAATAGGGTGTGATTTGGGACAGAAGCCATATCTCCAAGCTAACAGCCCTCCTCCCCAGCTCCTCTACGAACCTCTCCTCGTCCGGCTGGGACCAGAACCAGACCAACCTACGGCGAGTATCAGACCAGTTCAGCTCTCTGGGCAGCATGGACAGTCTAGACGTCTCCCACCACCCCTACCCCCCAGGACACCTCACCCCGGTCAAGTCCAACACCAGCACAGAGCACCTGGGAGGGGGCAAGAGAGACTCAGCATACAGCTCCTTTTCCACCAGCTCTGGTACCCCCGACTACATCCTCTCTAAGAGCAATGCTGCCTCCACAGAGAACATGCTGTATGAGGTGAGCCAGTGGGAATCACGGGACAGCCCCAGGACAGAGGAGCAGACAGGGCCAGGCTCTTCCCACTCCTCCAGCTCTGCTAGGGCTAGCTGCGGTCCTGTCTGGCACGTTCCTGACAAGAAGAAGACCTCCGCTCCCTCTCCTCCTCCCCCACCGCCCGTACGCAGTGACAGCTTCGCTGCTACCAAGTCCCATGAGAAGGGTCTGGTTCTAGCCTATCCAGATGGACCTGGTGCTCACACCCAGCCCAAGTCCCATGAGAAGGGTCTGGTTCTAGCCTATCCAGATGGACCTGGTGCTCACACCCAGCCCAAGTCCCATGAGAAGGGTCTGGTTCTAGCCTATCCAGATGGACCTGGTGCTCACACCCAGCCCAAGTCCCATGAGAAGGGTCTGGTTCTAGCCTATCCAGATGGACCTGGTGCTCACACCCAGCCCAAGTCCCATGGTAAAGGACTGACCAAAGGGATGGACTCTGATAACTCACAGCGCACCAATGGCGCTCGGCGTAGCCATCACAACCTAGCCTCCAAGAACAACATGGTCCCTCCTTACATTTCACCAGAGAACTGTCATCAGAACCAGGTGAACTGTAACAAGCTGTACTCTCTATCCAGTAGTGATGTCAGGTTGGGGCAGCCTACCGACCTGCCCTGCCACCAGAGACAGCACAGTAATGAGAGCTCTCTCTACTCCCACCCCAGGACCTCATCTGTCCCCAAACAGCAGAACGCCAGCGGCTTCTACAGCAGCATGCAAGAGCTACCCACCAACTACAATACCCAGAACACCCAGCTCTACAGCCTGTCCCCAGACAGCACTGGAGACAGCCGGTACTACTGTGTGACGGCCAGACAGCCTGGTCAACTGGTCACTCAGGCCCAGCTGGTCAAGACTGACGAATGGAGGGGTGGAGTGGGCAGAGAGGAGGGTGTGGAGGGTGGAGGAGATAGGAAGTCACTCACTCCCCAGGGGTCAGGGGTCACCAAGGCTAAGTACCAGCCACCTACACCTCTCAACAACGACAGTAAGGGATATAGCAAACAGGATGACGGCTTCCGCCTCAAACAGCCAGCTACCATTTCTCCCTCTGCTGTATTGGACTCCTGTAGAGCCCAGCCCAGCGCTGAGGAGCAGCCAGGCCTGAAGAGGAACGGCAGCCAGACAGCAGAGCCCCACGATATGAGTTACCCCCCTAGAAGGCAGTCTCTGCAGCCCCTCCAGCAGGACACCATACACTGTCAAGAGATGCTGCCAGACCGCTCTACCACCAGACCCAGTCAAATCTGCCCTCAGACCACCAGCGGCCTCAGCAACTCAGGCCTCAGACCCAGAGACTGTTCCAGTCAGGAGACTGTAGATCTCTCCAGTAAACAGTGCAGGAGGAACGACCGGTTCGCCACCACCCTGAGGAATGAGATCCAGATGAGACGCGCCCAGCTGCAGAAGAGTGAGAGCGCTGCCTCCCTGAGTGGACCCTGTGAGGCGGAGGAGGACCATGAGGTGCCGGAGGTCTGGCGGCCCAAAAATACCACCTCTTCTTCAGATGGCTCCTTCACTTCCACCTATAAGGACCATCTGAAGGAGGCGCAGGCCCGCGTGCTGAAGGCCACCTCCTTTAGGAGGAGAGACCTGGAGCCTGTCCTTCTGGAGCACCCTGGGGCGGAGGCAGGATCCCTGCCTGTCTACCCCTCCTCTGGCCTGGGGAGGAGAGACAACTTTAACCCCCTGTCCAGCCTCTCTGAGGGCCTCCCAGCCAGGTCTGGCTCTGCCCAGAGTCAGGTGACCCGTATCGGAGGTAGGAAGCGTTTCACCACGGAGAAGAAGGTCCGGTGTTTCTCTGAGCCAGACAAAATCAACGAGGTGGGGGTGGAGGAGGAGCTGACCCTCCCTGAGGCTGCAGGCTCCTTGCTGAACCGACGCTCCACCGCCAGACCTGCTTTCACCAGATCACTCCCGAAAACTGCCCTGCCAGGCCCTGTCGAGGACTGTGGAGAGGGCAAGGAGAGATCCAGGGGTGATTCTAACATGTCCAGCAGCAGGAAGGAACTGAGAGAGACCAGGACTAGAGCTACCCCAGAGGGGGGTCAGGGACAGGACCACAGACAGCAGGCCCTCCTGGAGCTCCAGAGACTGGGGACCTTCGCTGAGTACGAGGCCACCTGGAACACCCAGAAGAAAGCAGCTGGGACCAGAGGCTCAGGACGCCCTCTCTCTGCTGATAACTTCCTGGATCCTGGAGGAGATGACCGGACCAAACCAGCCCCAGTCCACGAGAGGTCCCGATCCTCACCCTCCGCTGACTTCTATGACAAGGTGAGATCCTGGCAGTGTCTGACATGGCATCCTATTGTCTTTGTAGTGCACTGCTTTTGACAAGGGCCCGTAGATCTCTAAACTGAGTCATTGTCAAACTCATTGTGCTGGTTCAAATGTTCCTGCGTGTTATGACTTTACTCTCAGTTCAACATCTCTATGGGGAGGAGCTCTCTGCTCCATCACACCTGACAAGGCCAATGAAAAACATGCCTCGCTGGAAGCTCTGCCTTCCACAGGTGGTAACGCTGAGGCTCGGATTCATTCCTTAGATTTTTCGCTCTTCACCTTGAGCTAAGCAGAACGATTCGCACTACTAAAAATACATTTGGAACGTGATAAGAAAAGGACTAGGGTGGACTATCATAGGCTAGGTTGAAGAGTGATATCTTAGGCTAGGTTGAAGAATGATATCTTAGGCTAGGTTGAGGAGTGATATCTTAGGCTAGGTTGAAGAGTGATATCTTAGGCTAGGTTGAAGAGTGATATCTTAGGCTAGGTTGAAGAATGATATCTTAGGCTAGGTTGAGGAGTGACATCTTAGGCTAGGTTGAGGAGTGACATCTTAGGCTAGGTTGAGGAGTGATATCTTAGTCTAGGTTGAGGAGTGACATCTTAGGCTAGGTTGAGGAGTGACATCTTAGGCTAGGTTGAGGAGTGATATCTTAGTCTAGGTTGAGGAGTGACATCACAGGTTGAAGAGTGATATCTTAGGCTAGGTTGAGGAGTGACATCATAGGCTAGGTTGAAGAATGATATCTTAGGCTAGGTTGAGGAGTGACATCATAGGCTAGGTTGAAGAATGACATCATAGGCTAGGTTGAAGAATGATATCTTAGGCTAGGTTGAGGAGTGATATCTTAGGCTAGGTTGAAGAGTGACATCTTAGGCTAGGTTGAGGAGTGACATCTTAGGCTAGGTTGAGGAGTGATATCTTAGTCTAGGTTGAGGAGTGATATCACAGGTTGAAGAGTGATATCTTAGGCTAGGTTGAGGAGTGACATCATAGGCTAGGTTGAAGAATGATATCTTAGGCTAGGTTGAGGAGTGATATCTTAGGCTAGGTTGAAGAGTGACATCTTAGGCTAGGTTGAGGAGTGATATCATAGGCTAGGTTGAAGAGTGATATCATAGGCTAGGTTGATGAGGAGTGATATCTTAGGCTAGGTTGATGAGGAGTGATATCTTAGGCTAGGTTGAAGAGTGATATCATAGGCTAGGTTGAAGAGTGATATCTTAGGCTAGGTTGAGGAGTGATATCTTAGGCTAGGTTGAGGAGTGATATCTTAGGCTAGGTTGAGGAGTGATATCTTAGGCTAGGTTGAGGAGTGATATCTTAGGCTAGGTTGAGGAGTGATATCATAGGCTAGGTTGAGGAGTGATATCTTAGGCTAGGTTGAGGAGTGATATCTTAGGCTAGGTTGAGGAGTGATATCTTAGGCTAGGTTGAAGAGTGATATCTTAGGCTAGGTTGAGGAGTGATATCATAGGCTAGGATGAAGAGTGATATCATAGGCTTGGTTGAAGAGTGATATCTTAGGCTAGGTTGAGGAGTGATATCATAGCCTAGGTTGAGGAGTGATATCTTAGGCTAGGTTGAGGAGTGATATCACAGGCTAGGTTGAAGAGTGATATCATAGGCTTGGTTGAAGAGTGATATCTTAGGCTAGGTTGAGGAGTGATATCATAGGCTAGGTTAAGGAGTGATATCTTAGGCTAGGTTGAGGAGTGATATCACAGGTTGAAGAGTGATATCTTAGGCTAGGTTGAGGAGTGACATCATAGGCTAGGTTGAAGAATGATATCTTAGGCTAGGTTGAGGAGTGATATCATAGGCTAGGTTGAAGAGTGATATCATAGGCTAGGTTGAAGAGTGATATCATAGGCTAGGTTGAAGAGTGACATCTTAGGCTAGGTTGAGGAGTGATATCATAGGCTAGGTTGAGGAGTGATATCTTAGGCTGAGGAGTGACACTGGTGCATCTGTAAGAATGCAGGAATGATAATTGAAGACGAGGTTTCCAGTTCTGGTTATTTATTAACCAACTAAAAGGTCAGAGCACAAGGACTCAGGAGCACATGGGGTGGGTCAGATGAAGATATGGAATGGCTTATAAAGCTGAGAAGGTTGTGTGTGTTGTGGTTCTGGAGCAAACCTGACTGACCATAACTAGTAACAGGAGTACATGAAGTAGGTTATGCTATGTAGCTAGACAACAATACACAGCTAGGATAAGAGGATATAATGCCACAGGAGCTGCACTAAGCCAGTGCAAACAACTACTTGGACAGGTTACAATATTACAATGAAGGCTCTTACTCTAGTCAGCACAACACAACGCCCCATGCCACCATAAACGCTGAACAAACAAGCTGCTTAAATAGGAAGGAAGAGAAATGGGGATTATCAGAGGTCATGTGTGGTGAGTTGGGACGAGAGGGGCTTGTCCAGAGGGTAATTAGGGAATGGGTGAGATGGCCTGACCCTTCAGAAAAACGCGAGACTATCAAACTGTCCCATTGTGGTGGACGTTGCTCTCCCCTTTGGACGTCCAGTTTCTGTTTTCTTCGTTTTTTACCTACAAACCAATTCGTTATTCTTTGTGTTGTTGCTTAATGCCGGGTGTACACGACACAACTTTAAAAACCTGACATCGCTGAGCCTCACATTAAACAACCGTCTTTCCAACGTAGTGATGAACGATCTGGCACAGATGTGGGGGTCACATGATTAGGTTGTTAACGTAGCTAGAACGAGATGTGGGGGTCACACGCTGTCTCGCAAAATAATGTGATGGTGTGATTAGATTGTTAACGTAGCTAGAATGAGATGTGGCTCAAAGCAGCCTCATAAACGTTTTCAATCAGACATTCACGCTTGCCATACTGTTGAAACAAGGTCATCATCTCACTGGCTTCTTTTCTGGCAAGCTCTCATTGGCTATTGCTGATCACCGTTCTCAAAACTTGTCGTTGCACATCTCACACTACAAGACCATTGCAGATTTTGTGCCGATAAAATCAAACGTTTGAAAATATCAGGACGTCTGGGTCTGCTCAAAGACTGGATCGCTAGCCCTCAGATTGCGTCTCTGACCCTCTCACATTAAACAAGCTTCGGTGACGGCCGCGCACCCAGAGTAGGCAACGACATGGGGATTTTGTTGCCGATCTCAAAAACTTGTCAGGGACAGCTAAATCGGGGCCAAAATCATGTAGTGTACAGCCGGCTTAACCTGGTATAGTAATGAGTAAGATGGCTAACGCAACCGTGCCCCCGGTCATGCTGTGCACCATATCACCCAAGGATACAACCGGTCTTGCTGTTCCACCATATCACCCAAAGATACAACCGGTCTTGCTGTTCCACCATATCACCCAAAGATACAACCGGTCATGCTGTTCCACCATATCACCCAAAGATACAACCGGTCATGCTGTTCCACCATATCACCCAAAGATACAACCGGTCATGCTGTGCACCATATCACCCAAAGATACAACCGGTCATGCTGTTCCACCGTATCACCCAAAGATACAACCGGTCTTGCTGTTCCACCATATCACCCAAAGATACAACCGGTCTTGCTGTTCCACCAGGTACTCTTAAGCGTGTTTCCATATCACCCAAAGATACTCATGTTTGTTGTCTTGTATGTCTTGCTTGGTGTGTGCTCAGGCTGCCCTCACTCCAACCAGTTGGCGTGTGCATTGTCACCGGCTGCTTGGTGTTTCCAATAGTGACCATCCTCTCCGTGAGGCCTGTACCCCAGCTAAGTCGGAGTTGCAGAACGCGGGGATTTAGGTCTTTGCTCAAATGTCTGGTTTAGCCTTGGCTTTGAAGCGGTGCTACCTGTTAGATAGACTTTCTTCGGCTGGCTATGGGCTGATCAAGCTTGGCTACTAGCTTAGCGTAGACCTCATGGCTAACGTCAGCTAGCATACATAACTACCAGCAAATGAAGCTACTAGCTTTCCCCCGGTGTTGTGGCAACCCCACCCCTATTTCCATTCTCTTGGAGTTGTAGGGAGTGGATGAAGCGGGACGTGTGTGTGTGGTAGCACCCCCAGTGAGGAAGCAGCCCCCGGTAGCACCCCCAGTGAGGAAGCAGCCCCCGGTAGCACCCCCAGTGAGGAAGCAGCCCCCGGTAGCACCCCCAGTGAGGAAGCAGCCCCCGGTAGCACCCCCAGTGAGGAAGCAGCCCCCGGTAGCACCCCCGTGAGGAAGCAGCCCCGGTAGCACCCCAGTGAGGAAGCAGCCCCCGGTAGCACCCCCAGTGAGGAAGCAGCCCCCGGTAGCAAACCCCAGTGAGGAAGCAGCCCCCCAGTGAGGAAGCAGCCCCGGTAGCACCCCAGTGAGGAAGCAGCCCCGGTAGCACCCCCAGTGAGGAAGCAGCCCCCCCAGTGAGGAAGCAGCCCCCGGTAGCACCCCCAGTGAGGAAGCAGCCCCGGTAGCACCCCCAGTGAGGAAGCAGCCCCCGGTAGCACCCCCAGTGAGGAAGCAGCCCCCGTAGCACCCCCAGTGAGGGAAAGCAGCCCCCGGTAGCACCCCCAGTGAGGAAGCAGCCCCGGTAGCACCCCCAGTGAGGAAGCAGCCCCCCCCGTGAGGAAGCAGCCCCCCCAGTGAGGAAGCAGCACCCCCAGTGAGGAAGCAGCCCCCCCAGTGAGGAAGCAGCCCCCCCAGTGAGGAAGCAGCCCCCGGTAGCACCCCCAGTGAGGAAGCAGCCCCCGGTAGCACCCCCAGTGAGGAAGCAGCCCCCGGTAGCACCCCCAGTGAGGAAGCAGCACCCCCAGTGAGGAAGCAGCACCCCCAGTGAGGAAGCAGCACCCCAGTGAGGAAGCAGCACCCCCAGTGAGGAAGCAGCCCACGGTTAGCAACCCCAGTGGGAAGAGCAGCCCCCCGGTAGCACCCCCAGTGAGGGAAGCAGCCCCCCCAGTGAGGAAGCAGCCCCCGGTTAGCACCCCAGTGAGGAAGCAGCCCCCGGTAGCACCCCCAGTGAGGAAGCAGCCCCCCCCAGTGAGGAAGCAGCCCCCCCAGTGTGGAAGCCGCCCCCCCCAGTGACGGAAGCAGCACCCCCCAGTGAGGACGCAGCCACCCCCATGAGTGAGGAAGCAGCACCCCCAGTGAGGAAGCAGCCCCGGTAGCACCCCCAGTGAGGAAGCAGCCCCCGGTTAGCACCCCCAGTGAGGAAGCAGCCCCCGGGTAGCACCCCCAGTGAGGAAGCAGCACCCCCAGTGAGGAAGCAGCACCCCAGTGAGGAAGCAGCCACCGGTTAGCACCCCCAGTGAGGAAGCAGCACCCCAGTGAGGAAGCAGCCCCCGGTAGCCCCCCCAGTGAGGAAGCAGCCCCCTGGTAGCACCCCCAGTGAGGAAGCAGCCCCCGGTAGCACCCCCAGTGA